GTCAGCCTTCCTGCTCCTCTGATGCTGCTTAGCCTGCTGTGTTCATCCAGCTCTACACCTTGCATATCTCAGATTCTCCAGCATCTGCAGTTCCTACTATCTCTGAAACAAATTCCAACTGTCATTTGTATGGAAATGTGCTTCATGAAATCATAGGCCACAAAAATCCAGGAAATAGGAGCTGGAGGAGCTTCTCTGCCAATCAGTGTGGCCAGGGATAATCTTCTGCCCAACTGTACTTTTCTACCCAAACCCCTGTTCCACATTTCCCTCAATATCCAAAAATCTACTGAGCATTCACAGCTCTGAGCGAGAGAATTGTAAACTTTCACAACTGTCTGCAATGAAGAAATCTCTCCTTATCCCTGTCCTACATAGAGACCAGGTTCACTGTGATTGTGATCCCTGTTCTAGACTGTCCAGCCAGGAGATCCTAGGGTGAAGGCTCTACCATACAAGAAACAAGTTGGGACAGTATCCATTGAAGTTTTAAAAAAAAGGCAGGTGATCTCATTGAGACACCTAAATCGTAAGGGGACTTGACAGAGTGGATACTGAAAGGATGAAGGGAGAGACTAGCACTAGGGAACATAGCTTAAAAATAAATGAGCTCCCATTTAAGATGAAAAGGAGAAGAGTTTTCTTTTCTCTCAGGGGCTCATTACGGACTATTAAGGGGAAAAAGGGTTACCAGGAGAAGGCAAGAAAATGGGGTTGAGAAAGATATCATGATTGAATGGCAAAGCAGACCTGATGGGCCAAATGGCCTAATTCTGCTCCTGTGTCTTTTGGACTTGTGAGCCCATGGAAATTTCTTTCCCAGAGAACAGTTGAAGCTGGGTCATTGAGTAATTTTAAGGCAGAACTGTGTGGACTGTTGACTGAGAAAGGGATTCCAAAATTCTAGCGGCAGACAGGAAAGGGGAGTTGAAACAACAATCAGATTAAAACGCAGAGCAGGCTCGAGAGGCTGAATGGCCTACTTCTGTTTCTAGTAGCATTTCACAGCAGCTACTCTGACATGCGCTGAAGGATTTAGCTCCTCTCCTACTCCAAACCCCAGGGAATGTTAGCTCCAGTCTAATCCACCCACAGCAATCTCCTCTTTGCAGAACCTGTCTAATGAAACTTCATACCTCTCCCTAGAAGGGAAGTGCAGCTTTTCCTTTGTAGAGAGACCAAAGCTGGAGTCAGTATTGAACATATCACCTCGTCAAAGTCCTGTATGTTTGTAATATAGTCATCTGGTGCGTGCTTAATTAATTAATGTGGAATCAAAAGTTAGTCTAATGGTGACCATGAAACAAGCAAATCCTGTGGATGAGGAGAAAAATTGAAATACACAATCAAGAAGGTGTGTTGAGTATCAACCAGCAAATCGGTCAAGGGCAGGCAGTATGGGTGGCACAGTGGCTCAGTAGTTAGCACTGCTGCCTCAGAGCGCGAGGGACCCGGGTTCAATTCCGGTCTCAGACAACTGTATGGAATTTGCACGTTCTCCCCGTGTCTGTGTGGGTTTCCAAAGGGCAGTCCAGTTTCCTCCAATGATCCAAAGATGTGCAGGCTAGGTGGATTGGCCATGCTAAATTGTCCATAGTGCCCAGGGATGTGTAGGTTAGATGGGTTAGAGGTGGGAAATACAGGGATAGTTGGGGGGAGCTGGTGGGTCTGGTGGGATGCTCTTCAGAGGGTTGGTATGGACTCAATAGGCTGAATGGCCTGCTTCTACGCTGTAGGGATTCTGTGAAACAACTGCTGATTGCTGTAACAACCCATCTGGTTCAATGTCCATTAGGAGGGAAATCTGCTGCCCTTAACTGGTCTGGCTTACATGTAGTTTCAGAGCCATGTGGTTGGCTCCCAACTCCTCTCTAAATGACTGAGCAAGCTGCTCAGTTCAAGGGCAAATAGGATGGGTAATAAATGCTAACCTCATCTGCAACACGCACATCCCATGAAAGGATTAAGGGAAACAAAAGCTGTGATGCCCAGAACTAACTGCAGCATGGTTGCTGGTTGTCCCCAGCCCCTGCATACACCCGAGCAAGATCGAGAAATCCAATAGGGAACACAGATTGCAGTCAGCTCCATGGGATTCAGAACTTTAGTTACCTGAATGGATATTGCAAAGAACAATTTTAAATTGTTTGGAGTGTGGACTAAAAATAGGAGAAGAGACAGCTTTAAATTGAGAAAACTGTGAGAGAAAATATTTGTAGCTATTAAAACCAAGTGCAGATTAAAAGTTGTTGAGAGCGATTTTCAAATGGAATGGCACCACCTGTGTGTTTTCAGGGCCACTTGGCCCTGAAACAGTTCTCTGATTAGCTTTTCGATTGGACCCAGTTATTGTGGGTTCAGCATAGTAACAGCCACTTGAATGGTTCCTGGGAAGGTGGCTATAGCCCTGCGTGTGGGCAATACAGCAGGGGTATTCAGACTGCAAAGAGAAAGAATACATCTCTCCTTCGTCATCTCCTTTCTGTGCTGAGAATCAAACTAAAATCTCCAGAGGCTAGCTATTCTCCCTCACCTTTTCTGCAGGGTGTTGTCTCTGCAAATCCCCTGTTGAAAGGAACAATGGAAAAAAACACTTTCAGAGGCACTGAAAGTATGATTCCTGAACCAATTTACGATTGGTATAGCTACAATCTCATATCATCAGAAAAGAGGCAGAAGGAATTTAAAGGAATTAAAAGGACCCAAAAGGAAACAAGTCACTGAAGTCTGTGATCTGGAGTGGTGCCAGAATTGTACGACACTATTCTTTTCACTCCCCACCCCAAATACTTGTGTCTTCTCTCTTTTTGTGTCTGTTGTATGTATGGAAATTGTAAAAAGGGGCAGAGTTTAAGTTATAGAGTTTTAAGTTTGCAACTTGACTGGTCTGTCTTTTGCCATTGGCTAAAAAGAGCTTGATTACAATAAATAGTTCTTTTTTAACCAGGGTCTTGACTTGCTTGTCACCTGAATTAGACCGTTTAATAAATTGATTAATCAATTTTTCACATATGTGATGATTCCAAGAATAGTGGGTGTTGGTTTTTATTGCACTGTCCCAGCAGATTGCGGCAGTATGTGGGTAATTGACTAGTATTAATTGGCAATACAGGGAGCTAAACTCAGTTAGAAACAGCCAGGTGGGAAACCTTTGAAAACTTCAGAAGCTGAAGATCAACTTAAAAATGGATGACTTTTGGCTGAGTGGGGAATTAAATTCAAAATCCGATTCCCAAGCAAACCTTTGCATTTCAAGTTGCAGGATTTTGTGTCTGCACTACACATGTGGCCAAGGTCAGGAAAATCCCAGCTCCATGTTAAAATCTGATTGAAAGATTCCACATTTCATATCTCGATCAAGGAGGAGAATGGTCACGCACTGATTCTTGTAACTTTCTTCACATGTACCTACACTCAGCACCAAAATATGGAAATTAATCAATTATATACACACTGAAAATTGCATTCCAACGCTCCAGCAATGTGAGGACCCACCTTGTTTGAAACAAAACAAAACCATCTTTATTTGCCCAGTTCAACTGCTGGAGAAAGATGCTGTCTTTCATCCTGAAATTGAGTCATTAAGTTGAGCGCTTAAGGTCTGTTAATAAAATTCTGACTCCCAGAAAGTATTAATTCCTTGATCATATGATCAGTGCTCAGATTTCAGTATGTGTGTAAAATTCTTTTGTTCAGCACCTGCGTGTGAACTTTACTACACTGTTAACTCAATAAAAACTCCTCACAAATCTTCAATTTTCCAACTCACCCTGAAAAAAAAAACACTGACTCTGTAGAGTTACAGTGAGTCATTCACACCCTGTTTAAACACTGACTCTGTACAGTTACACAATGAATAAGCCTTATCATGTTGAATTAACTCTGACTCTGTACAGTTACACAGTGAGTAACCCTTACCCTGCTGAATAAACACTGGCTCTGACACAGTGAGTGCATGAAGCAGTGCAGTAGAGGCAAGTTCAATGGAGGCTAACAAAGAGGCAGTTAGACTATGACAGAGTGCGAGAATGGATGAGAATGACATGCAGGGCTATGGGGAGGGGATGGGGCTTTGACACTGGCTCAAGGTGCTCATTCTGAAAGCCAGTGCCTACACAAGGGCCTAATGTCCTCCTCCTGCACAGTAACAAGGTTACTGAGTCTGAGCCTCAGCTGAGTATGGGTTGGGGATTGAGATTGGGTGTGGCTTGATTATTTCACCAGGTGACAAGCTCAGTAACTGATCCACTGTGGCTATGACCATGTGATTTTGGAATAGTTTTGTGTGTATATATTGTGGAAGTGTCTGACCTGGTGTAATGGGACATTGAATGCATTCGGTCACTCCCCAGCCAACACCACCTCCTTGGCAGCAACGTTCAACTGTCCGCAGGCCGGTCAGTGGGGAAGCACACTGAAATGACAACATCAAGACAGGAATGATTTATGAATAAGCTAGAACCTCGAAACCTAGATAAAAACAGAGAAACCACTGAAACTACACATCAGCTCTGGCAGAGGAGAGGCACATGAGTTAATGTTGCAGCTCAATGACCTACTCCAGAAAAACTTACTTTGCTCCTCAGTGACTCTTCTAGAAAGCTTCAGCCCATTTGTCAAACACTTCATTAAATTGAGGAGAAGTGGCTGTTGCAAGAAATATATCAGCACTTACACGGAGCAAGATTCCATTCCGGGATGGCATGAGCCAACAGCTTCGTGTTGGTTAAGGGAAGAATGTTGGCACCAGGGTTTCTCCAGCTTGAGCTGGGGCCATAAATCCTTGAACATTCACGAGACAAACAAGAACAAACAAGACAAGGGAGTATACACTGAATAGTAGGACCCTAAGATGCCCAGAGAATTAGAGAAACCTTTGTGCGTATTTTCATAGATCCTTGAAGGTAGCAGGAGAGACAGATAAAGTGGTTATGGTGGTATACAGGAAAATTACCTTTATTAGTTAAGACAAGAGCAATGAGTTTATGATGGAGTTGTATATGAGCTAGACCAGAGCTGGAGTACTGTGTGCACTTATGGTCATGCTATAGGAAGGATGTGATCACACTGGAGGAGGTTCACCAGGATATTGCCTGGGCTGGAATGAGTCAGCAATTTAAAGGGACTAGATAGGCTGAGGTTGTTTTCCTTGGAGCAGAGAAGGCTGAGGGGCTTTTGCTTCAGGTGTGTAAAATTCTGAGGGGCATAGACAAGGTAGATCGGGGGAAACCCTTCCCCTTCATAGAGGTCTCAATAACCAGAGGGCACAGTGTTAAATAAGAAGCAGGGGATTTGAGGAAAAGTATTTTCACCCAGAGAGCAGTTAGAGTCTGGAACTCACTGCCTGAGAGGGTGGCAGGGGCATGAACTCCAAGACATTGAAGAAGTATTTTGATAAGCAGTTGAAATGCCAGAGCACACAGGGCTATGGGCCAAATGCAGGAGAATCATAATGAAAGGAGAGGTCTGTTGGATAGTCATCATGGACATGATGAGCTGAAGGACCTCAAGATGCTGTTAAAAACTCTGTGACTATGACATACAAGATTCAATCTCTCAGCGAAAGGAAAGATTAATTGTTATTGATCAATGGGATAGGTCACTCTCTGACACTAAAAACTTTTGGGAGTAAACACAGCCAATGGACAGACAGAGTTTGGAATGGACCTTTGGGTGCGGGTTAATACGCCCCTCCCAAAGACAGTTTGGTGGCAGCCATCTAATTGGATAGGAGGGTGACAGATGGGGACCCTGCTCCCTTCTCGTTTCCACTCTGATGAAGGCTTTCCCATTTTGATACTAACTGAAACCCTTAAGGTGCTCATTAATGGGTTTGATCCTGCCACTGCAGTTATTAACTGGGAGCTGGCTCAACAAGGTGAAGCAAACCTGCACAGCATCACCTGCAGGCTCCTCTGGGGAGTGTGTTTTGGACAAAGGCACTCAGTGCCTGAATGAGGGACTTGGCACCAGGAAAGATCTTACCAAAGCTCCTCAGACAGCACCTTCCAAACCCAGAACCACTTCCATCTAGAAGGACAAGGGAAGCAGATACATGGGAATGCCAACTCCTTCAAATTCTCCTCCATGCCACTCACCATTCTGATTTGAAAATATATCGCCGTTCCTTCATTGTTGCTGGGTCAAAATCCTGGAATTCCCTCCCTAATGGCATTGTAGGTCAACCCACAGCATAGAGACTGCAGCGGTTCAAAAAAGCAGCTCAGCACCACTTTCTCAAGGGCTATTAGGGATGGGCAATAAATGCTGGTGCAGATGGTGATACCCACATCCCACAAATGAATTAAAAAAAAAAGAGGATGAGGTCCTACTCAGAATCACCTCCAACTGCTGCCGATCCCCTATATGGGAAAAGATATTGAAGCTTGAGAGAGGGGCAGCACAGAAGAGGTTTACCAGGATGTTGCCTGGACTGGAGTATATTAGCTATAGGGGGAGGTTGGAAGGACTTGGATTGTTTCGATTAGAGTGTCGGAGGCTGAGGGCAACCTGACAGAAGTATACAAAATTATGAATAGTCAGAGTTTCTTTCCCAAGCTGGAAATGTCAATTACTCAGGGGCATTAGTTTAAAATGACAGGAGAAAAGTTTAAAAAGAGATATGGGAGGCAAGTTGTTTTTTGTTCAGAGGGTGGTAGGTGCTTGGGGAAAATGCTGCCGGGGAGGTGGTAGAGGTGGAGATGTTAGCAACAATTAAGTGACATCTAGATAGACAAATGAACAAGCAGGGAATAGAGGGATATTGGACCATGTACAGGCAGATGGGATTACTATAGAATGGCATCATGGTCAGTACTGCCATGGTGGGCTGAATGGCCTGTTGCTGTGCTGTATTGTTCTACGTTCCAAGAGCACTGTGTTGCAAGCTGGCATCTCACCCCATGCCAGTTCTAAATTAGTTTCCTACCTGTCCGCTCGTGATTTCAGTGAAGCAGTATCCAAACACAGACTCTGCATCCAATCGGGGAGCAGCAGTGAGAGGTCCCTGTCGCTCCTGTGGTGCTCTCTGGGACGTTGGCTCCTGGACGTGGAGCTGAGCAGAATTTGTGTGTTTCTCTCCAACCACCTGGGTGACCTGATGAACCTTCACTGAGACTTCAGGAGGATGCTGGACTCGAAGATTTACGATCGACGGAATCAGTCGGTCTGCTGGAATCAGTACAGTGTTTGTAGTTAGAGATCACCATCCAATGGGGGGTGCAGCAATAGATCACTGTCCAAGGGGGAGTGCAGCAATAGATCACTGTCCAATGGGGAGTGCAGCAATAGATCACTGTCCAATGGGATCAGAAGCCAGACAGTACCATCCCATGGGAGGATGGCTCACCTGTGGCAGAGCTGTGAAAGACAGTGTGAATAAGGGCACAATTTCCAACACAATTACACCCTGATAGGGGTATTTGGTGTAAACTGGGAAGTGAGAAAGATCAAAGAAAATTTGGAACCTAATCAGCAAGTCCATTTGAAAGCTGCTGATACTGAGATATGTACAGATAAAGGGAGATGGTGAAAGAATGGGATTAAACGATGACAAAGTGGATGGGCTAATTGTACTTCCTTTTTTAAGAATTGGGATTGCTGTCAGATTAAAATGTGAAACTCTAGTGTTCGCGAGACTGCATACTGACTGGTTACACTTAGTCCTCTCTCTGTCTCTCTCTCACGTAGATAGTTGTTCTGATTCCATAGGATATGCAGCACAGAAACAGGCTGTTCAGCCCAGTCACTGCAGGTTCCACTCAAAACCACCCTCCCCAATCCTTTCTCATCTTAAATTTGAGTGAGTTCAGAAAAGATTTACAGGGATGTTACCAGGATTGGAGGGTTTGAGCTATAGGGAGGGATTGAATAGGCTGGGACTATTCTCCCTGGAGCACAGAGGCTGAAGGGTGACCTTACAGAAGTTTATAAAATCATGATGGGCATGGATAGGGTGAATAGGCAAGGTCTTTTTCCCAGGGTGGGGGAGTCCAAAACTAAGGTTTAAGGTGGGAGGGAGGAGATTTGAAAGGGACCTGGAGGGCAACTTCTTCACACAGAGGGTGGTGCGTGTATGGAATGAGCTGCCAGAGGAAGTGGTGAAGGCTGGTACAATTACAACATTTAAAAGGCATCTGGATGGGTACATGAATAGGAAAGGTTTAGAAGGATATGGGCTAAATGCTGGCAAATGGGACTAGATTAATTCAGAATATCTGGTTGGCATGGATGAGTTGGACCGAAGGGTTTGTTTCTGTGCTGTACAACTCTATGACTCCATACTGCATAAATGTTTCTACCAGAGAAGGAGCAAAACTTGATCTTCTCTTGGGAAATAAACTAGGGCAAGTGCCTGAAGTGTTAGTAGAGGAACACTTTGGGACTAGTGATCATAATTCTGTTAGTTTTCAATTTGTTATGGGAAAGGATGAGCCTTTCATAACAGTTGAAGTTTTTAATTGGAGTAAGACCAATTTTAATGGTATGAGACGAGAACTTTCAAAAATTGATTGAAGTCGACTGTTCACAGGTAAAGAGATGACTGACAAGTGGGAGGCTTTCAAAAGTGTGATAACAAGGACTCAGAGGTATAATGTTCCTGTAAGAGTGAAGGGTAAGGCTGGTAACAATAGGGAACAATGGATGAATAAACAAATTGACATTTTAGTTAAGAATAAGAAAGAATTGTGTAGTAGATGTAGACAACTCAGATCAAATGAATATCTTAAAGTGTATAAAGAGAGTAGGGGCATTCTTAAGAGGAAAATCAGTAGGGCAAAGAGGGGATATGAGATAGTCTTGGCAGATAAGGTTAAGGATAATCCAAAGAGATTCGACAAATACATTAAGAGCAACTAGACAAAGAATAGGACCCCTTAAAGATCACCAAGGTTATCTATGTGTTGAACCTCAGGAGATGGGAGAGATACTAATTGAATATTTCATGTCAGTTTTTAGAAAGAAATGAAGGCTGGAGAACTTGGGAAAATAAATATTGATGTTTTAAAAATAGTTCACATTACAGAAGAGGGGGTACTGGAGGTCTCAGAAAACTTAAAGGTGGATAAATCTTCTGGACCTGATCAAGTGTATCCCAGAACATTAGGGAAGAAATTGTGGGGCCCCTAGCAGAAATATTTGTATCATCTATATCCATGGGTGAGATGCCAGAGGACTGGAGGGTGGTGGCCTTTATTTAACAAAGGCTGTAAGGAGAAGCCTGGGAACTATAGACCTGTGAGCCTGACATCGGTGGTAAGTTGTTCAAGGTGATTCTGAAAGAGAGAGTTTACATGCATTTGGACAGGCAAGGACTGATTAGGAATAGTCAGCTGGTTTTGTGCGAGGGAAATCGTGCCTCACAAGCTTGACTGAGTTTTTTTGAGGAAGTAAACAAAAAGATTGATGAAGGCAGAGTGGTAGATGTTGTTTACATGAACTTTAGTAAAGCCTTTGACAAGGTTCGGCACAGTAGACTAATTAGTAAGGTTGCATCATGTGAAATTCAGGGTGAGCTTGCCAATAGGATACAAAATTGGTTTAACGGTAGGAGACAAAGGGTGGTGGTGGAAGATTGTTTCTCAGACTGGAAGCCTGTAGCCAGTGGTGTTCCACAAAGATAGGTACCAGGTCCACTTTTGTTTGATATTTATGTAAATGGTTTGGATTAGAATATAGGAGACATGGTTAGCAAGTTTGTGGATGATGCTAAAATTGGTGTATAGTGGACAGTGAAGAAGGTTACCTAAGATTACAAAGAAATCTCGATCAATTGGGTCAATAGGCTGAGGAGTGGCAGATGGAGTTTAATTTGAATGAATGTGAGATATTGCATTTGGTAAAAAAGACAAGGGCAAGACTTATACAACTAAAAGTAGGGCCTTGGGTAGTGTTGTGGAACAGAGACCTAGGGGTTCAGGTACATAATTCTTTGAAATTTGTGTCACAGGTAAACAGGGTGGTTAAGAAGGTATTTTGCACAATGGCCTTCATTGCTCAGACCTTTGAGTATAGGAGTTGAGATGTCATGTTGAGTTTGTACAGGACATTGGTGAGACCTCTTCTGGAGTATTGTGTGCACTTCTAATATCCTGCTATAGGAAGGATATTATTAAATTGGAGCGGATTCATAGGAGATTTACCAGGCTGTGGCTAGGAGGGTTTGAGTTATAAAAATAGGCTGGGACTTTTTCCACTGGAGTGTAGGAGGTTGAGGAGTGACCTTATAGAGGTATATAAAATCATGAGGGGCACAGCTAAGGTGAATAAGTAAGGGTATTTTCCCTAGATTGGAGGAGTTCAAAACTAGGGGTCATATTTTTAAGGTGAGAGGAGAAAGTTTTAAAAAAAGACATGAGGGGCAACTTGTTTTTACACAGAGATTGTTTTTTATATGGAATGAACTGCCAGAGGAAGTGGTGAATACAGGTATACTTACAGCATTTAAAAGACATTTGGTTAAGGACATGAACAGGAAAGGTTTGGAAGGATATGGGCCAAACGCAGACAAGTGGGACTAGTTTAGTTTGGGAACGTGGTCGGCATGGACTAGTTGGACCAAAGGGTCTGTTTCCATACTCTATAACACTCTCTGTTGGGAGAGTTGACAGTTAACTGCCAAGCTAAGTCTGTAAGCTGGAAAACCCAAAGAGTGATGAGTCATATGAAACAGCCCATCCTTTCAGCCTTTAGTACTGACTGTACTCAATCAGTTCATGTTCTCAAAATTAAAATACAGTCTCCAATATTAGATTTGATTCCATGGTTGGATGTTTGCTAAATAATGCCAAGTGTGGTACAATTACAGTAACAACCAATTTAGTATTTTCAGTCAGGGTCACAATGTGTGTTTGGAAAATAATATATTAATATAAAGGGCCCTGTTCTTTGCAGACAGAAAGAGCATGTATATGCATGATATTTGATTTAGTTGAACAGAATAGGTAAAAGCCATCTGCTGGTTCTTTTCTGAGACCAATGACTTAACCAATTAGTCAGCTTGCCTGATTTAAATTTAAACAACAAACTTGTAGTTAACTGTCAGTCATTATGAACCTGGTGATTGGCAATGGCACGAATAATCCATTTGCCAACCAATTTGTACTCGACCCCTACAGTAAAATAAAAATGTTGTTTACCTTTACACTCATATTCTTTCAAAATGTCCTGATGTGTGAAACAAAAGGCTTAAAAAAAAAATGGGCCTTTTTTCACCAATGCTCTAGTTCTGCGGTATCAAAAGACCAGTTGAGTCTTAAAGAGAGCCTTAGAGAAACAGAACTTGGAGAAGTTTATAAAGATGAATTTCAGAACTTAATGTCCTCACAGCTGAAGGCACAGTCACTAAAGCTGGTATGGTGAAAGTGCAGGATATGAATATCAAGGGTAAACATTGAAGGAATGTGATGGTCTGTCGGGTAGGAACGCTGGAGGAGGTTGGAGAAATAGGGAGTGACAAGGCCATAAAGAAATATAATCTCCAATTATTTAAGTGCCTGCTGCTCTTTATGGTGGCACATTAAAGCATTTCAGTCTGTTTCTCACAGCTTTCTGTGTCTGGCTACTTACAAAGCAGTTTCAAATCTGTACAGTAATCTTACATTTCTCTGTAAGATCAGCTGCGAACTCAAACAATGTTTCCCATTGTGTGCTTGTGTAGGTGACAATTAAATACTCCAGGACAAGATTAATGTTCTGACTGGCCAAACATTAAAATGATGATAAATAGGTTTATTAAATGGTTTTAGTTAAGTATTATTGTGCCTGGAAGCAAGTGACCCTGTGCTTGGCCTCAGGAGGTTGATTAGCAGCCTAGCAATCACTCCCCAGTTTGTTCTCCACAGTGACCAGGCTATTTAACATTGCCAGTTCTGACCCTTTCTCAGAGTCCCATTTTCTATAATGACTGCAAATTATATCAATAAAGTTTCTACTGTAGATGTCCTTTTGTTTAGACCAATTTAAAATAATTGAACTCCTATGGGGCAAATGAAATGTAAGATTTTACATTCAGCCCATTGCAGTGAACACTTCGACCCCTTCAGTGCAGAAACATTGTGCTTTCAAAATGTATTTTAGACTCCCACTGACCACAGAAAATTCTAGACTTGACTCTTCATCCCAACTCGGAACTGTCCCAGATGCCAATTACCCAAGCTGCAAGCAGATTTCATCTTTAGGTTCAACCAGTTTATTTTGATTTCCTTTTGCATGGAGGGTGAAGAGTTGAAAGATTCTCCCTCTTTCCCCAACCCATCTCCTGCTGGGATAATCCTAACTCCTGCTGGGATAAAGTTCCAAGTAAAGTCTGCTAGAAAGCCTTTTGCTACCTCATGAGTGTTCATCCTTATTGAGAATGCTCGGGGAGTGAGTGTTGGCAGCCTTTTCAATTGTAGAGATATTACAGAACATCCTTACACATATAATCCCTGCACCAAGACTCAATGGATTATGTCCAGGAGCTAGAACCTTGGCAGATATTTATCCTCCTTAAAGCAGGGACTATAAAGTACTTCTGATATTGAGATCAGCTAATTTTGATCCAGGACTGGAATCTGGGAAATGGGCCTAACCCTATCTATAAATAAACAAGCATTATAAAATCCAAGAATTGCAGATGTTTGCTGAGGAATTCAGGAGGTTAGTGAGTCTATGTTCCAGTTTCTCTCCTATGTCCATACTTTTATTTAATTGTTTTATTTTGTTTCTCTTCAGTGACTGATTTTCTCTTAAAGGTTGTGACTGATTCGGTTTATGATAACATACTCTATTTTGCTAACGTTTCTGTATTCTCTTTCTCTACGGAGTGTATTATTTCAGATTATTATGCATTTGGTGCACATCTTGTATTTCAACTAGCCTCGATATTTATCTGTCGGTGACCATCAGATTATGAAGAACAACAGAAACTCCCACTGATCCCCGGCCTGCTGCCTGTCACAGCATTGAACCACTCCTCTCCTTAGGCTTCAACTGGACTGAGCCAGTCAATCCTTCAAATGGCCTTGATCTTTATAACTCTTGTGTGGCATTTGACCAAATGTCACTTAACGTCCAAATAAATCAAATTGAAATTAATCTTTTGACAATGTTCTTTGCTCATAACTTGGACAAAGAATTTAGTTATATTTGTCAATTTGACTTGACGTTTTGTAAATCTCTTGCTCATGCAGCTAAAATGTTTCCATTGTGTTATTATAGATTATGGCCCTTCACTGGTTTCCTTATAACTGTTAGGAAATGCCAAATAAAGCAGAAATGCCATAAGTACACACATCTACAATCTGGACCATTTTCAGGGAAATAGAGGATCAGCGTTGCTCAGTTCAAAGGTTTAATGAGAAATGCCCCTGACACTTGTTAGACATTTCATCTCAGTCGCCAATATCCTGCTCACAAAATTCTCAGTCTCAGTTTGGATAGCTTTTGTTTTTGAACGAGAAACATAGATAAATTGTGTTTACTTTTTAAGATTTGCTTGCAGAAGCGATCTGGAGATTAATCTCCAATTCTTGCAGACTAGGCCAATCCTAATGAACAATCAGCAAAGTTTTAAATGAGAGAGATGTGATTTGCTGAACACACCACAGAAGACAGTTCTGAAGCTGTCAAAATGGGGTTGCATGGTGGCTCAGTGGTTAGCACAGCTACCCACACGGCATCAGGGACCCGGGTTCGATTCCACCCTTGGGCGACCGGCTGTGTGGAGTCAGTACATTCTCCTTGTATCTGTGAGAGTTTCCTCTGGGCGCTCTGGTTTCCTTCTACAGTCCAAAAATGTGCAAGTTAGGGTGGATTGGCCATGCTAAATTGCCCGTAGTGTCCAGGGATGTGCAGGCTAGGAAGATTAGCTATGGGAAATGCAGGGTTAGGGAGATGGGGTGGGTCTGGGTGTGATGCTCTTCAGAGGGTTGGTGTGAACTTGAAAGGGCCGAATGGTCTGCTTCTAACACTGTAGGGATTCTATGAAAAGTGTACATGGTAAATTTGGGAAGACAATGTGAAAATGTAGGTGGTGGAATCACAGGGGGATCCTGAACTATTTCTACCGAAAGGAAGTCAAACCCCGATTGGTTCAATTGATGCACCGGTCAGAGAGCCTGGCAATGCCCAGTTTCCCCTGGTCAGGTCTGAAAGCTGCACGAGGCGGGTAAGATCCAAGAGGCAAATGCCTCAGTTAAAACAAAATAAAACAAAAACAGCAGGGATTCAAACATTAGTACAAAAATATTCACCATTTGCATCATAACATCACAAAAATTATTTTTAGCCTGACTTATCAATTTTCTATATAACATAAAGTAACATTGAAGAATCAATGCTCCATCTTAGCGAAACTTAAACAACAATTTCTGTTGTGAGGAAGTCCTTCTTACTTTGATTTGAAAGCTGTTGGTTGGAGAGTGGGAGAGTGTATACAGTTTCCACTCTTGGTTTACGTTGTCGATTCGGATCTCCTGTTGGGAAACTGTCGGGAACCTTACTGCTGCTGGCTGACTGGGTGGAGATCTGACAGAATTTCCCAGTGAACCCTGGGGGACAGTGGCAACGGTCTTTTCGTACGCACACTCCACCATTCTGACACTGAAGCAAACAGAGGACTGGCAAAGAAACCATGTCACATTATTAGAAATATGTTATCATCAGGAAAGTCTGAATCACACAAACTTAAATTCTCCTCTTCCCTGGAAATCGCTGACTCTCTTCATGGGATACAGAAACTAATGGAGCTGAAATACTTCACTCAAGCAGCTAACCGTCTCAGGAAGGTACGCACAGGAACAGGAGGAGGCCATTCAGCCCCTCAAGCATGTTCCACCAGTCAATGAGATCATGGCTGGTCTGTGACCTAACACCATACGCATAGCGGTTCCCCATGCTCCTTAACACTGGTCTCAAAATTTAAAATTAATAATTGACACAGAATATACTTTGAAAGAGAGTTCTAAATCTCTGCCAACCTTTGCATATGCATGTGTGTCCTAACTTGACTCCTGAAAAGTCTGATTCCTAATTTTTAAGATTGTTCTCCTAGTCCCAGATTCCCAAACTGCAGAAGCACTTTCTCCAAATCCATCCGATTTGTTCCCCATAATATGTTGAAAATGGTTGATCAAATCACCCCTTAACCTTCTAAATTCCAGGGAATGCAACCCTAGCTGAGAAAAAGCCTTTGCAATGACTTGATATTCCAAATGGGACTCTCACCCCTGTGCAGTTTGACCTAAACACTTTTTCAGCTTCATATGAAAGCTCTCGGGCATAAGCAACAAAAAAAGGAAACAGACAATATTTTGACAAATTCAAATACTCAGGAAAGACTCTGACCAAAAACACATTTATGAATGAATGGGTTTAGAAGTAAGTTTCCCCCGGTGAGATCAGTGTATGTAGGAACCGAGCCGGTGTGCAGATTGATGCTGAACATGGGCAGAGGAAGAGTGCAATTCCTACAGTTTGAAGGAGGAAGACGCGGCAGGTTTGCTGATATTTAACAGATGCTGTGGAGATTATGAGCGAGAACAGTCATACTGATTATGAGTTCTATAATCGACATAGACAGATATATATTTAATATGTGGCAAGTGGGGGCTGATAGAAAACAGGGGAACAATAAAATGCTAATAATTCAGTCAATCACACGCAAAACAATTTTCATCTCCACTGAAACTAAATCCTCTCACATCCAGTTCAGGAAGTTGGAATCCTCCACCTAAAGATTGAGACCCCACAGCCCAAACTACCCCTAGGTGGCAGATATGATAAAAAGTAGAATGTAGAACCAGCACAGTGTGCCATTCCAAGGGTGTAGCTGAGACAGTTTGACACAGAAGGTAACAATATTGCCCAAGATTACAATGGAAGTGGATTACAAAAGACATTGGAGCCCACTGAATCTCAAACTCAACTTCCTTGTACTGTCCCTGTCCTGGGAATATTTAATTGGACAGTGTGAGGGAGCTTTACTCTGTATCTAACCCAGTGTCGTCACTTTCCTGGGAGTATTTGATGGGTCAGTGTAGAGGAAGCTTTAACATTGTTATAAAGTGGAGGTTGACCTCTCTCTAAGAACTAAAACCGGAACACCCAAACAGGAGCACCTTGCCTCATAATCTGTAAAAGGAGTGTGAAAAGTGGTGTAATCTGCTTTTCAGCAACTTCTAGTGGTTAAATAAAATAAATCCCTGACATTTACTTTAAAAATCAACAAATAACAATTTATTTATCTAACTCCAACAGTGAACAAATTAACTAAACAATTAACAAGCCAAATAAATTCCTTCTAACTACTAACTATTCCCGAATAAAAAAAAGATTCTAATGGTACACTGTTCCAATAAATACAACTTCCATGTATATAAAACAAAAATAGTAAAAAATAGAATTTATTCTCTTGAAATTGCAGCCAGGTTACACGTCTTCCAGAATGTTCTGCGCCTTCTCCGTAGAAGGTTCTGTCAGGTATATTAACTAGTTGGACCATAGGTAACTTTGATTTAGATGGTGCTTTCTCTAAGACATAGAGGAGACTGTGAGAGCCAGTGAGAGCTGAGGGCTGTTAGCTCTAGCAGATGGCAGCTAGCTCTTAAGCTTTGTCCAACTGCTCCGTACTTTTTATACACTTGATGACATATCAATATTTCTTACGATAGGATTGGTTCTATGTTGTCAAAACCATCAGACTTAAATTTAATAGGTTTTTGGTAACTAAGTGCCTGGTTCAAATTCATTGGCTAAATTCAAAAGCCTGTTGTCTTGGTAAACTGCTATTTGGCTTGCTAACTGTACAGCCTTTCAATACAAATGTTTCACTTCGGACACTCTCTATGTACTTGCAGGCTTTCAAGCTGCTGCTCACAGACATCTCCAAGCACAAAAAAAGCACACCATCTTTTAAAGGGTCCACACTAGCATTTTACAAACACCAAATTCTAATTTCCTGCCTACCAATCCACAAGTACTCTTCCCAACTTCACAACACTTCCCCTCTTAATAAAAATATGAACCATCATTATGAAAAGACGGCTTCACATAATTAGATCGATAGCTCATTAATCTAGAGTTACACATTTTATACTAATTCCAAATATATAATGTTGAACACTTGCGCATTTTTCTTTTAAACTCGCAATAAAGCATCCGTGTTAATATTTTCACAACCCACAACATGTACAATCTCTAAATTAAATGCTTGTAATATGAAACTCCAATGAAATAATATGGGATTCTTGCCCTTAAACCTTTCCAGAATGTCAAAGGATTTTGATTGGTATACACAATCATCTTTGATGCATTGTTTGCAACTTAAACATTAAAATGTTGTAAGGCCATTACCAAACTCTAATTCTTTTTCAATGGTTGAATATTTTTTCCGGTGGATAATGAACTTTTTTCTGAAAAATAAGTGATTGGCCTTTCAATTCCACAATCATAACCCTGTAACAACACAGTTCCAACCCCTACATTGCTAGCATTATTGGTGACTTTGAAGGTTTTCAAAAAATTTGATGTGGCTAGAATGGGTGCGGTGGTTAACACTGCTTTTAAATTCTCAAATGCCTCCTGGCAATGTTCTGTCCACCGAAATTTTGTGTTCTTTTTTAACAAATCCATCAATGGTGCCACTACTCTACTAAAGTTTGGTACAAATTTACTGTAGAATCCACTCAATCCTAAAAATCATAGCACTTCCTTGTTAGAGGATGGTCTTGGAAATTCCCCGATGGCCTTTGCCTTCACGTTCCTAAGTGTTATCCAGCCGTATCTGATGTTCTGCCCGGAGAATGTCACTTCCACCTTCGCGAGCTCTGTTTTTGCCAGAGAGCCCTGCCAAATATTCCATGTGATCTTTCCACAAATGACTAAAGATCACTAAGACATCACCAGACGGCCCAATTAGTCAACCCTACAATAACTTTGTTCATAAGCCTTTGAAAAGTGGCTTGTGCGTTTTTTTTATTCCAAAGGGATTAAATTGATATACCCCATTTGGGGTTACAAAAGCAGAAACTTCTTTTGCTCTCTCTGACAAAGGTAATTGTCAGAAACTGCGAAATAAGTCCAACTTTGTGATATAAGTGGCTTGTCCTACTTTTTCAACACAAGCCTCCAGCCGTGGAATTGGATACGAGTCAGATTTGGTCACAGTGTTGACCTTCCAAAAATCTTAGCAGAATCGTTGAGTACCATTAGGTTTGGGAACTAACACAATCGGCGAACTCCACTCACTTTGACTCATCTCTATGATGTCTTCTTGGAGCATCACTTATACTTCCCTCTGAACCTGTGCCGCTTTCAGAGGATTAAGCCTGTAGGGGTGTTGTTTTATCAGAACACATTCCCTACATCAACCTCATGTACTATGGCATTAGTCCTCCCCATTCTAATTCCACATAGGTCCTCATAGCACTATAACAAGTCTTTCAATTCTGTTCTCTGTTCCAGGGACAGATAGCTCACTACCCTATCCCATTCCTCAAGGACTTCCTCATTATTCAATTTATTCTGAAGCACATCAAAATCCAAATTATCTGGATTTGATTCCTCACTCTGAATGGCAATAACTAATACTTGTTTTTCCGGTTCCCTTTCTCTGTCACAGTAATGCTTTAGCATGTTCACATGACATACTCAATAATCTTTTTTTCTATCTGGCAGATAATTCACCTGACTTAACTTCTTCTCAATCAGATAGGGACCACTAAACCTTGATTTGAAGGGATCTCATACCACTGGTAACAGCACCCATACTTTAGCTCCATGGGCAAACATATGAAATTTTAGATTTTTTATCTGTTTCTTAGTTCATAAGGTGATGTCCCACCTTCAAACGTTGTCTAGCTAATTCACCTACTCTGTTTAAACTTTCTCTCACCTCAGATACATAATCTGACTGCGAAATCTCTGACTTCTGACCTATCAACATTTCCTTAATTAATTTTAATAGGCCCTCTTACTTTGTGTCCGAATATCAATTTGAATGGAGTAAACTGAGTTGATTCATACGGAGCATCTCTAATAGCAAACAATATGAATGAGATACCTTTATCTTAATCATTTGGGTAATCCTGGCAATAAGCCCTCAATGTCTTTAGGGTCTGATGCCACCTTTCAAATGCTCCCTGAGATTCAGGGTGGTATGCACTTGATTTAAAGTATGTGATGCCTAAATTATACATGACATCATTAAATGATTTGGCAGTGAAATTGGAACCTTAGTGTGACTGAATCTCCCTGGGTAGGCCATAACAGGTTTTAAAAAAAAAAGCAAGCTAGTCCTCCACAACCTTTTTTGCCTTGACATTCTGTAATGGAATTGCCTCCAGAAGTCTGATGGACACATCCGTTATGGTTAGCAAATACTGGCTCCCGCTTTTGGTTTTAGGGAGGGAACCTACACAATCAATTAATCAAAACCTGTGTGAAAGGTTCTTCAAATGCGGAAATTGGTAAAGGCGCTGGATTTATTACTGCCTGTGGCTTTCTTACCATCTGACACTTATGGCAGATATGGAAAAATTCAACCATATCTTTATGTAATCCAGGCCAATGGAAATGCTCCTGATTCTTAGCCTAAGTCTCCCTCACTCCTCGATGGCCT